TCCTCACGGCCGCCTCTCACTCAGATGCTGCTGCTGCTGCTGCTGCTGGCGCCACTGTTCCTCCGCCTCCAGGGCGCGGGCGGGGCGCAGACCCCCAACGCCACCTCGGAAGGTGCACTCTTCTCCGGAGACCTCCGGCCCTCCTCCACCCCACTCCCGGGTTCCCTGCATCGCCTCATTTCTGGTCCCCATCACTATCCCGACAGCCCTACATAGCATCCCGGTGGCAACCCCTTGTGCTCGGCCCCACTTTACTACTCCTGACCTCCTTTCTGTCACCCCACATTACTAACCAGCACCCCTTTCTCTGCCCCACATTACTACACTACACCACCTTTCTGTGACCCGGCGTTGTCGTGTCAGCCCTATCCCCCTTTCCTGGCTCTACATCACTACCTCATTTATTCCTCACTTTCCTTGGTCCCACTTGGTTGCCCAGATGGTCTTATACGGCCCCCCTCCTCTCATACTAATTCAACTCAAATATCCTCATTTAGCCTTTTTCCCCCAAGCTCCATCCACATACCATACCCTTCACAATTTCTTAATTACTATTCTCCATCACCCTCAACCAGCACCCTCCCCTCCCCACTTGTGGGCTCTCTCGTCAGCTTTAATCCCAACGCATTACTCCCTGTCCTTTAGCCCAGGGTTCTGTCCGCACTCCCACCCTCTAGTACCCCGGCCCAGCCCCTCGGTCCGCAGCCTGCCCATTAGCCACGCCCTCCTCTCCCCTGCCTCCGGCTGCTGAGTCTGCCTTTTCTTCTTTCCCACCATTCTTCTCTGTCTGCTTCCCCCACTCGCCCCTCAGGTTGCCAGATCATACACCCGCCCTGGGAAGGGGGCATCAGGTACCGGGGCCTGACTCGGGACCAGGTGAAGGCTATCAACTTCCTGCCTGTGGACTATGAGATTGAGTATGTGTGCCGGGGAGAGCGCGAGGTGGTGGGGCCCAAGGTCCGCAAGTGCCTGGCCAACGGCTCCTGGACAGATATGGACACACCCAGCCGCTGTGGTGAGTAGCCTCGGGAAGCCCCTCCCTTCTTCAAGACCATTCCTTTCCTGCCTCAAACTTAGCATTCCTGCTTGCAGGTCAGCACTTTAAATCCAGTGTAACAAAGATCACAAATACATTTATTGCATGACTACTATGTAAGAGGGATTTTGCTGTGTGCAGTTAGAGGTCGTAAAGATAGCAGCATGCACATTTCATTTTATCCTCCCTTTATTGGGCCACTGATCACTGGATAAAATAACTTTGATTATTCATCTTGTGGGTTATTCACACGTTTAGGATAACTAGTGGCAGATTATGCCAGAAAATTCTAAAATGATTTCATCATATCTTTGGATACCTCTGTCTCCAACCTGGAGACCATATGCCCAAGAAACAAAAGCCAGTTTAATATTAATATAAGCCAACTATAATAAGAAAAGCAAATTTGATTGTGCATCTAAAGTTATATACATCTACACATTTCAAAGCCAGAGAACCACCCACTGTAAGCTTTGAAGAGATTTCATTTTGTGTGCTTATAGCTCCATCTTGGGTTCCTGCAATGGAAATGCATTTTCTGTTTTTCTTTTGGGAATGTGTAAATGCTTGAAGAGTTAAGGGAGGAGTGGAAGGTAGAAGTCAAATCCTTTTTACACTTTTTCTGTAGAGCAGGATGCTTGCAGACCCAAACCCAAACCTGAGCCCTCTGCTCTCCTAGGGGAAGGAGCCTTCTCCAACTTGCCTCTCTTCTTGTTTTCCTGTCTTTCCACAGTCCGAATCTGCTCCAAGTCTTATTTGACCCTGGAAAATGGGAAAGTTTTCCTGACGGGTGGGGACCTCCCAGCTCTGGATGGAGCCCGGGTGGATTTCCGGTGTGACCCCGACTTCCATCTGGTGGGCAGTTCCCGGAGCATCTGTAGTCAGGGCCAGTGGAGCACCCCCAAGCCCCACTGCCAGGGTGAGGGGAACAGCTGCCCACATGCAGCCAATGAGGATGCTTGTGCAAGGGTGGGAGTGGGTTGGGAATGGATGGTGGGAAAGGATGGGGTACTATAAAAGTGTGGGGGAGGGCCTTGGAAAGGTGGAGGTGAAAGTCCAACTCTTCCCTCCATCCATCTGCCTCAAACTTCCTCCTGTAGTTCTCGGTTATACTTTACCCACCTTGGGGACTTCCTAACTTTACCTTTCTCTTTTTATATCTTCTTCTGCCCCCAATTCTTGGGCTTCACATTTTCTCTTTTCCTTTATGAATCTCACCCTCCTTCACCTTCTTAAGATTTAAAAAGTCCAGTTTTCCCTAGATTCATTCCCTTTCTCTAAACTTAAACTTTATATGCATCACCTTCTTCTAGAATTGATCTTTCACCATTCACTATATAATTGAATTATTATAAAGACTCAGAGATAAATCATACATTGCATTTAGAAAAATTGACAAGAGGAGATCTGGGAGTGGAAATGTATCAGGGTAAAAAGACTTAAAGTTGGAGACAGAATTATCAAAACATTAGGGACAATCCAGATGAAGGGCAGGAAGAGAACAGTTCTTTTCTATACCTCCTGGACAACTTCCATTATTTCCTAAGGGAATCTGTATCAGGTCTGTCTACTACCTTTTTGCCATCTACTGCTGCAAACTTCTCCCTTTTGTGGGTACCCAAACTCTCCCTCTGCAGTCTTCTTTCCTGGGATTCAGTCATCCCATTTCTATGCCTTATTCTTCCTCTACCCTCACAGACTCAGGGTCCTTGGGACTGATTTTTCTCACTTGATAAATTATTCTGCTTCTAGTTTACTATAGCATTCTGAAAATTGGGGGCCCAACCAGGGGTGGATTTACTATGAAGCTAATGAAACTTAAACTTTAGGGTTTCTCACAATTTGTAAAAATTGCAAAAACAGGATTTTAACAGGAATTACTTAAAGCCAATTGTATTTGAAAATTTTTCTCTTGAAGATTGATCCCCAGATTTTGTAATATTCAGGCTCTACAAAACCAGGCTCTGCCCCTGCCTTAGCTGGTGGCACTCCTGTCTCAAATTCTATGGTCCTATGAAAAAGAAAAGAAGAAAACCAACAAGTCCTGACCCCCAGCCCCACCTTGCTCTTATCCCCAGGCACCTTCCCCTCAGAAACGCAGGCTTCTGCCCTCCCCGGTCTTCGGCATGGACAGGTGTGGGAGGGGGCTGGGGATCAGGCCAGGGAAGCTGGGCGCCAGTGGTAACTCTTCTCTGATCCCGTCTTTCCTGCTGCCAGTGAACCGAACGCCACACTCAGGTGAGATCAGAAACCCTTATCGTGTGCACTGCCATCCCCTCACCCTTCACTCTTCACCCTCCACCCCCGGGAATTCTGCCCTTAGGATATGGGTGTCGTCCTCCCCCCCTTCCCCCACTCGCCCCACTTTGCGGATGTCCGCTTCTCTCCCTACCTGTTTCCTGCCTCCAGTCCCGGTTTTCCGCGGGGCTGCGGTCCCTCCCTGTCCCAGCTCGGCTGCACTTCTGGTTCCACCTCCTCCCAGACTCTGCCTCGCCGCCAAATGGCAGAGCCCCAGCAGGGGGCGGCAGGGTGCTGAGAGACCCTGAGCTTGCACCTCGTCTTCCCCTATGGGGCTCCTTCCGACCTTCTCCGGAACCTTTTTCCTTTCCTGCCCCCTTCCTCGGATGTCACCTAACGGACTCCATCAGCCCATCCCACCTATCTCGGCCCTGGCCAGGCCTCTCACGCTCCCTCCTTCAGCTTTCCCCCCTCTCCTTTCCTTCCCTACACGCCTTCCCTTCCCTCGTTCTTCCGTCTACCCAGCCCGCGCTCCCTTCCTCTGTCCCCATCACTCCCGTCTACACCGCTTCCCCCTTCCTCACCCCCCCTCTCTCTCAACTCTCAGCTTCACCCCATCTATTCACACCCCCCACTCCGAATGTCAGGCGCCAGCCCCTTTTCTCTCCTGTCCCCGCTCTTGTCCTTCCCTTCTCCATCCCTGGCTTCTCAGTGCTTCAGCCTCCCGCGGCTCCCTCCGCCGCCCCGCCCTCCTGGCACGCCCCGTCCCCTCTTTTCTCCTCCCCTAGTGTCCCCTTAGGTGGGACCCCTCCCTTCCCCGTCCATTTCTTTCTCCCACGAGGTTGCGTCCTCTGTCCCTTCTCCTCCCCTCCCACTGAAGTCCCCACCTCGGCGCTCGTTTCCCTCCCCACCCCCTT